TTTGGTATAAAGTTGCTTATTTGGATTGTACACACATCTTAATATGCCTAATATGATAAGCGTTATACGAAATCTCGTATGTCATAAATCAGTTTATAAACAGGTCATTAAAGTTACATATCTTATACTATTCATCTCCCTCCCTTTTCAAGTCAGGTGTCTTCTGCAAGAAACAGAAAGACACGTTGGTCTGTTGGTAAAAGTAGTATCATTTTATAGTACGTTTTATTTACAACAGAATAAAAAAACAACAACAATTGAATGTTTTATGTTTTATAAAGTACTTGGCTATACAGTATAATTATTCAGTTTGAATATAACCCAGAGAGCTGAAATAGTCCTAACTGGTCTCTTTCGTTACTATATAGGACTTTCTTTTACTGCATGCGTTAGAAGGACGCACGAATAAACGTCATTTTTAACATAATATATTTTCCCGTTAATAACGTTAAATCAGTTTCTCATCATGCAATACTGCCGAACGTATACACTTAAAAATTATTTACGTGTGAAGCTCTGGATGTAGACTATAATTTGCGCGTATTTTTTGCGGTGGTACAAGTTGATGATTATATAACTACAACGTAAAACTAATCTCGACATCGTCAATTTTCTATGATAGAAAGTACAAACTTTATTCCTTGAATTATTTATCTTATTTCGTTTGATTAACTACAATTTTCTAAGTTTTCCCACGATAATTAAACCATTTTGCCATGATTTCTTGTTATATTAGAATTTGTACTTTAACAATTTAGAAAAGAAGAAAAATTGGTGTACTTAGATACGGCTTCAATCGTCATTAAACTTTGATTTTGTTCTATTTTTGTATTTTTATTTGGTAAACAAAACTAGTGATAGTCTATGAGTTTCTTTTTCTTTGCACAGTCGTGACAATAACATTGTAATGTCTTCAGTTATTTGTGCTTTATATGTACATGTATTGCATTTGGAAAAGAATACAAACTGAAACTTCTGCGTTAATTCTATAAGACGCCGCATGCACGCAGCGTCTAGTAGATATGCATTTGTCCATACAGAAATGGGGATGATTTAAGAAATGGTTTTGTGTATTTTTTTTATTTTGTTTTGACAATGTTTTCAATAAAAATAGCTTTCTAATGAACAACATGTCATAAAGCTTTAATAGATGATTAGAATAAACGTTGTACTGAAGTGATAGTGTTATGTTTGAATATCATATTCAGTTTATCATTATCTAATTTCATTTACATAATAGATAACGTGCCAATGAGCCAGTCTATAGTCGATAGTTCTTAAACCTAACCGTTGAGAGAGGTTACGACTGAGGCAGTATGACTCACTTCATTTGCCTCGCCTTAGTTGAAGTAAGGCTACGCCTTAAATTGGCGACAAATTTAATATGATGCTCCGTATGCTAGCATTTAGTCTTCGTTGACGGGGCGGAAGGAAACCAGAACATCTTAATCAATATCACTTGTCGAGTCATTGAGTTACAAGTTACAAAGTCTTAAGCACGCCCAGGGTTCTCCCTCAACCGTTAAGAAAGCACGTCAAACTACGCTACAACCAGAAAGGGGTGATCACTGCAGAACAGTTCGTCCTCAAAATCATTCAAACATTATGCAATTCGTACCAATTTTTAAATGGACATATTCTCGGCTGATATACTCTTGAATTAATTTTAAACAATCATTTCAATTATTCTTGTTATTTAATTTATTTTGCTTTGACCAGACGTTCAATCTTAACCGCCTCCTAGGTCGAGGGGTTAGAGTCGGTGATTTCTAATCCCGTTACCTCTCTGGCGTGGGTTCGATCCCCGGGAGATGCTTGGGTAGTTTAGCGCGGAGGAAGGTTGTCTAGTACTGGTGTAACTCTCCAGGATCGATGGTTAGGAAACTACCCGCATATATGACTGAAATACTGTTGGAAAAAGGCGTAAAATGAAACAAACAAACAAACAAAATTGTCGCAATAGACAAACATTTCAGAATTTGTTGTGAATTCTACTTTTCATAAAAATGTGCAACTTAAACATTTTTGTGCCGTCATGACTTGATGACGTCATGGTGGAGAGGATTATGAATGGTTTCATGTGAATTATATATAGAATTCTTAAAAAACAAATATTTTTTACAATTTTGTGGGTTTTATTTTGAACATTCCCTGAATGTATTAGTGGAACCATTTTATTTATTTATATCTTAGCATTTACGTCACAGACTTTGTTTCTGAATCACTTAGATACATAAAATTATTTTCAATCAAGATAGAAAATATATCAGTTTGAAAAATGTTTTTTCTTATTGTAACTTTTTTGTTTTCAATACAAATTTTAAGTTCTTTATTACTTGATTTTAAAACCAGAATCAAATATAGAGCATGCACATTTATCAATATATAATAAACGTTGTTAGAGATAATTTTATCGTCAAAATTATTTCACTAAGTGATTTTTTTATCTTATTATAAGATAAAATTTTAACCGACCAATGGCGTTGAAAATGACTTAAGATTTAACTTACGATTATTGTAAGACAAAACTTCAAAATCATAAGATGTTTTTGTGAAAATGTCTTCAGGGTTGACGAAAATACGCAACGGAAATTTTGGGGCGCAATGACAACAACTTTTTCGGCGCGGACCCCAACCAAAAGATACATCAGGGGGTTGCCAGAAGGGGGATAAGCCCCCTTCTGTTTGGCGGCAGTCCCCCTAATCGCCAAGAATATTTTGGACTTGTGAAAGGCTAAAAATAACCCCAGATCGATCATAAGGTAACGTGTAACCAACGCTGAAAATCATTAATTTTGACTTTATTTCAATCCATTTAGAAGTTGTAGCAATTTGAAGTCAAGTTTTATGGGAAAAAAACAGTGCAAAATATTGATTATTGGCAATTTTGAAATGTCCCCCGTTGCCATGTTAACAGGAAATTTAAGCCTGAGCATGTTGTTGCAAGGGCATTGGTCCAGTCAACATTTGTGTCAAGTTTGATTAGTATTGAAGCAGTTTTTATAGTTTTATAGCAATTTGAACCTGTTACGGGAGACTTTTCAATGAAATAGCCATTTTTCACAAAATGCTCATAAGGTTAATGGGTAAATGAAAAAAAAATCTACAAAACAACAATTTTTCTTTACATTTAAATATAATGCCATGTTAAAACATGTAAACCCGCGACTTTGGGTAATTTCACGTATTTTTTATCAATCTTTGTTAAGGGAACAATGTTTCGTTAAAATAACAATTGTCAAACTAAAATAAATTATACATGTCAAATGAAGTATCAAAAGTTTTTTGCAAATTTCAATAGGATTTTTTTTATGTTTTGGAAAGTCAAACATGCCTAGGAAATGGACTTAGTCGGGATCTCAACGCTCCTTTAAAGAGCACAATGAATGATTATGAATTACAATTATCAAACTATAATTTATTCTATATATTGAATATAATATGTCATTAAGGAAGTTTTGTTTTTAAATCCAAAAGGAATATTTTTATTTTTATATTCAATGTTTTGAAGGAAGATATATGCCGGCAAAAGAGACATATTCTCGGCGCAATGGAGACGTCTTTGTCTTGAATTTATTTAGTATACGAATTATTTCACTTTAACTTGTTATCCAATTTACTTTGCTTTGGCCAGACATTTCCGAATTTCAAACATGGTATTACTTTGTGAATTTAAGCATTAGATAGGTTCTACTTTTTTGCAAAGTTGTAACAGGGAACACATGTCAAGGCTGACTTTGCAAATTACCTGTGACTGTACACATTTTCGGCGGCGTCTTTGATGACATTTAGTGTCATAAGCCATTAATAAATGATGACTAATAAGATCTGTCACATGTTACGGTTCCGACCGGAATATCCGTCCCGAGGTGACTAGCCCATTGGGCGGTAATGAGGCTTGCTAAGTTACTGCCCACGGGCGGGTGACCGAGGGGCGGATATTCCGATCCTAACCGCAAAGATATGTCAGATATTTTTTCTTGCATATTCTACAATATTCCATTATAATTTAAATTCCTTTTCTTTATTTTCAACGGAAATTTATCGTTACAGCCGTAACTAGTTTCATACAACAGCGTATGAAAGTACAACTTCATTCATTACGATAAAATGACGTCATCCTAAGCGTGCAATTGTACTGCAGGCGACTCATCTGGGACCCCCGTGCCAGATGAAATTGCCGTCATGGGTAAAACACACGGAAACACCAGTCTGCTATGCAAGAAAAAATGGTCCAAGTATATCTCCACATCTTTATCTGAACCTATAGTTCATGTGCGCTACACGGCATCCACGGTGGTGAACATTTCTAGGAGATTTCAGTAAATATCTCCATAGGTGTAGGAAATATGCTCCGAGCAAAAGTGGACGCCGTCCGCCCGCGCCCGCCCGGTAGAATGGGGGGGGGGTTGTCTCATAATACGACCCGTTTTTAAAAAGGGGGTATAAAAATAGTTTTATTTAAAACACAAAAAAAAACATGGTTTAAAAGTTTATCGAGTTGCGAGTCGATATTAATGAAAAACAAAAGATAAGATCTGCACTTATGGCTATTCCGTGCTTAATGGTAATTAAGAGCGATTGTTTTATGATTTCAGCTGGACATATTCAACGTCGTATAACTTTATACCCGCAATGAAAAATATTCCATTTGCCACATTACTGTAGAATCTTATTCAACACAATACAGTTCATAATTCAATGAAGTTTACTATACAAATTTATTTTTTTAAAGTATACAAATCGAATCTTTAAATGTAACATAGTTAGTATTTTGTAAAATATATATGAGCTGTGTCATGACAAAACCAACATAATGGGTTGGCGACCAGCATGGATCCAGACAAGCCTGCGCATCTGCGCAGTCTGATCAGGATCCATGCAGTTTGCTTACAAACCCTATAACATAGCGAACAGCATGGATCCTGATCAGACTGCGGGAATGCGCAGACTGATCTGGATCCATGCTGGTCGCAAACCAATTATGCTGGTTATGTCATGGCATGGCTCACATTTATATATACAATTTCTGTCATTATCGGTATAATACTATACAATCGATTCCTTAAAATGTATTATGAATGATGTAATAAACATACTCTTCAGTATCTTTAAATGACAGTATACAAATCGATTTACTTTAATTTAATATCAATGATGTAATTAACATACTTTGAAATTAATAATAACAGCATTTTCAAACGTTCAGTTTCTTTAAATGACAGTATACAAATCAATTTACAGTCGAAACTGTCTTAAGCAGCCAGCCAAGGGATGCAGTCATTTTGGCTGCTTAAGACAGGTGGCTGCTGAATGGAGGATCCAGTTTTTATCCAAGTAAATTATTCACTTCTTTGTAAAATAAATATGATTTAAGTATAAATAAACCAGTCTGATTTATCATCATCATCATCATCAGTTTTTAACCATTTACAAACGTATGCCTTTAATGGTTTAACATGTACACAATCCTTCCAAAGCTTTAAATGAATGTAACACAGATAAACACATGCACTCACGATTTATTATGTCAATAATTGAAACTATTTATCCAATAAAAATATCTTCTTGCACAATAATTTAAAATGCGTAATAATTTTTGTCACAAAAAAAGTATGACAGTTTCTTTTTCTAACTTTTGATCAATAGAATATTGTGTACACGTCATCTAAGTGTCGGCACTTCCTTTGATGTTTCGGATTAAAACAGCAGGGCTACAGGTTTGTAAACATCAAAGATTCTTTTGAAGAGACCGCTAGTTACCTCTTAGAGGTCATCTTGTGTGTAAACTTAATGGGTGTGATTTAACAGTGACCTCATTATATTTATGCAATTTTATTTTCACACATGGAGCAAGTGTTTTTATGAATTTATTACTGAGGAATTTAGACAATCGGCGATGTAATTCATTTTCATTTCTTTGGTAAGTACCATGTACGCACAAAATTTTTCTGAATCGGGATAAACTGAAATATCTTTCTGCCATCGACAATGCATTTTTTTTTTCTTTTTTTTCTCTTAAATCGGTAAATTGAAAAATAAAAAACTAGCGTACAGTAACTCAAAAGAACGAATTGCAAGTGCGTTGAGACGTTCCAAACGTTTGTACTTAAATGTAATATCAGTGATGTAATAAACATATTCTCAAACATTTCCAGTTTTCAGTATCTTTTTACAGTATTCAAATCTATTCCTTAGATATAGTATTGAATATTCTCTAATATATAACATTAACAATTTCAAATTGTAAGTATCTGTAGAATAGTATACAAATCGATTCCTTAAATGTAATATCAAAAATATAATATGAATATTCTCAAATTTTTATTAATAGCAATTTCTGTTAGTATCTGTATTATGTAACTCCTTGTTTCTTTCTTTGGAATGTATATGTATACATAACTAGGTTTGTTTTAGCAGTTTCCGAACGCCAGCACATTATTATAATAAATTTATATATACAAGGATTATTATAGAATGTATTGTGAATAAATATTTCTGTTAGCAAATACAAACTTTTACGAACTAAAACAAAACGAAATTCATTTCCAATTGCATTGCGACATAATTTACATAATTATTTTTTTTTTGTTTTCTTAACCGAACTTTTAATTTACATAATTTTTTTGTTTTGTTTTCTTAACCGAACTTATGCAAGAGCATTTTTTAATTTTCATTTCTTATTATTACAACTAATAAGAAATGTTCTTGTTTATTTACTGTCTATACGCATATAAATTTGAACTATCATTTATCTTTGCTGACAATTCTTGTAAATACTGTTTCCTAAATTTTCCTTGCCACAACTGCATGAGATAATATTTTTTTGCTAGTCGATGCTCGTCCATTTCGAGTTCTGTACACCAATATCTTGCAGCTCTTTTAGCAGCATGTATTAACATATGGAATCTCCCAAAGTCACCAAGGACACCTGCATTAATTTTTCTTGTCTTTCACACAACATCTTTATGCACTAACTCTGATTGTATTAACTTGTGTTTACTCCATATTTCTGATCCTTAAAGAAAATGGACACACTTTTGTGTTTAAATGTTTTCAAAATACTTCTATTGAGGGAACTGTATGTAGTCGTACATCTATGAAAGTATTGCGATTAGCAATCGCTTTGCTTTAGACGTTTGTTCACCAGCCATTCTGTTTAAGTTAATGCTACTTCTACTTAACTGAGATTGCTTACAACATTTATACATGCGTATCAATTACTTCGCTTTTCTCTAATGTGCCACCGTTCTTTAAAATCATTACTTTAGATTTTTTTAGGGGCTGACTTTTACATCTTTTTATCACAGCAATATTTGACCAATTGAATAACTTTTGTAGACCTACCGTAGTTAATAAAATATTAACTTACATATGATAAGTAAAAAATATCTGAGCAAGTAATTAAGGTGTCAGGAAGGCTGTGTTTGAACTCTTGTTAGACCACGATCATGTTGAATACTAGGACAGCAAATGTCCTTAATACAAAGTAGGTCACATTTTTGTATGAGGAATAATTGACAAAATGACTCTGGTAAGCCGTGGAACACAATCATTATGAATGATTGACAGAAAGTTTTTAATTTCTTTTCATGTCTTCTCGCAATCATGAACAAATCAAATAGTCTATGTCTTTGTGATATTAGGTATGGAACTGGACCGGTTGTTTCCACAACTTTCTCGACAATTAGCTTTTGAAATGTTTCTCTGTACTGATCCAAATTTCGATGATTTCGGTAGAAAACACTTCTTACAAAATATCACTAATTTTGATTTAAAACTTGGCAGCAACAACGCATACAACAGTGGATTGGCTATTGTTAATATTTTAGCAAAGATCGCCGGTAAAGAAATAACCATTGGGGTCAGCAGCGCTCTGTTACCAAACAAACCTATCCACGACACAATACTGAAAGGTGCCCAGGAAATACAAAACACAGATATAAGAATCATACCCGCCCTGGCCGTTTTCATTTCGTTCTGTTCAAGGTTTTTTTTATTGCGCATCCGCCTAAACAACACTTCATCATCAGCTCTACTTTTTCGTACAGAAAAATAGATTTTTTCATGATTTCGAACTTTCATAAATATCACCAAGTAACAACTTATGATACAAGTGATAGGAATTGCGAAGAAACAAACTTGCAACGAGATATTGAAAGCAATATTTGATGCAGACTTTGTAAATATATATCCTTTTTCACAAGAAATTGTTCGTCCATCTAATGCGTAATGAACGATGCCGGTTACAGGGAAAGACGCCGCAGTGGCACAAAATAACCATATGGCGATGATGATATAAAACGCTTTAGTCTTATCGGACGGGTATCGGACTGGTACTGTCCTTGATATCACTAAACATCGATCAAAGGCTAAACACACAAGTGACCATATTGACAGAAATCCCGTGAACGCTCCAAGAAACATATTGATCGCGCAAACTGAAAACAAACAGAACTGATTAGTTTTGCATCAAGAGAAAATTCCTAAGTCGTTATGCGTACGTAGAGTCTTAAACATATTGTTAACTAAAATGACATATGCACTTAACAAATGTTCTAAGTACTCCGAAATTTAATGTCTATCTCCTGAACAAAAACTTGAAAAACTGGAAATTGCATTATATTATGTACTACATCACTGTCTTTTTTGTGGCGATGTTTAAATAATGAAATATGGCAAAACAGTTTTCTATCAAAATATCTATACCAAATATTAAATGCGTTGTCTGGCTACACGTTGAGAAAACCACACAATCTGTATGTTTTTACAGAAAGGGTATACGAAGGGGTCTTAATTTTGGTAGAATGTGGAATTATTTGCAAATGTGAACGTATTTTTTTATTATCTTATCTTTCGTACTAATCTCTTATGCATGAGGAGTTTGGGACAGGGGAGCGGCATACAGTATCTCTATAGATTTAACCTGTTTTATTGTTGTAACAAATGTCCCATACGTGTTTAAATGTTAAAATATTTTGATAGTGTTTACAGGGGCGTATCAAGTTTGGGATCATGGTTTGATGCCCAAGCGTCTGTTTTATTTTCTCCCCTATAAGGTTGGAATTTAATTCCTACATTGCCATTATTTCCTCGAACAAAGGGCGATTTGTCGTGAAGATATCATAAAACAAATTGCCTATACATGTAATTCAAAATGCCAATTCAGTTTTTTTTTTTTTTTTTTTTTTGAAAACATCTGAATACTTAGCTATTCTGTTTTGTGTATTTTTCAAAATGTACCAAAATCTTTACAAACGTTATATTTTGTATCCTCAGTTTAGAATAACAACTCTTTATTCGGTAAATTAGTCACTAATCAACCAATGTCGTAAAAAAGGTTTACGACCCTTCACATTAATAAATGTATTGTAAATTTCTCTGTATTTACACGAGCTTGAATTCCAAACCTTTGTAAATATCAATATAAGGATTATTAGAAACAAAGATTTATTGCCAATATTTAACATCCATTGATTTCCTTAGTTCTCATATGATCTGTTAGAGAACATCATTATTTGGAATTAACGTGAAGATAGGCACATCGTTTGTTTGTTATATATATCATATAGCCCTATACGAATGTCTTTCGAAATACACTATAAATTTCAGTTGTAATGAATGTATATACGAATAAAATTGTTTACTTACACACTCTTTCGATATCGTTGTCTGCTGGTCCGTGTATGTAATCACTGATAAGCATTGGGAGACATATTATACACATTAATAAATCAGCGATCGAAAGGTTTACCACAAATAAATTGGATGCTGTTCTGAGACTCTTGTATCTGTAAGAGAAAGAATGTTAACAAGAAATGTCGATATTCTAGTTTATGTCAGCAGTTTTTTACTTTGGGAAATACATGCTCGGTCGCTCTATCTATAGCATTTCTATTCTACGTGTATAAACAACAACGACAACAACAACAACAACAGCAACAAAACCGTTTTCTGCGGTGGCACATAATACATATACTCAAACAATCTGTCGCACATTTTAAAACTTACCTATCTCATCGATAAAAATAGTTAAACTATTTGCAAATAAGCACATCAGGGTCTGAAATTATTTCTGTTTCTGTCTGACGACCCAAACAAATAAAGATGATAGTCATATCGAAACAGTATTGTAAGATTTCTAAGAGAGATTACAATATTGTTGCAATGGTAGGATTAAATAGAAAATGACATGTCAAAAACATCATGGGTCATGGTTATTCTATCCATAAGATTATTGTTGTTGACATATTTTGGCTTGCTTAATAATGAATATATATATAGTTCATTATTTAGCAAGCCAAAATATGTCAACAACAATAATCTTATGGATAGAATAATTCTGTAATTAAGAAAATAACATAATAATGAAAAGGTTAAAAATCCCATCCCATTGATCCATCAAACAATGTTAGTAAGAAAATAGGAAACGATTGTCAATTAAGATGTAAATGGTAGCAATAAGTCAATAAGTAGGATATTAAAAACAGTTGAAAGTTATTAAAATGTTGCGTTGTTAAATACTGTATAAGTGGTTAATTTTGCGACGTTGAAATATTTGCCAGTTTTGCGAATTGAAATTATTTGCAAATATTTGATCGTGCAAAAATAAATTCGTTTAAGGCAAACTTCATTCTATCATCTGTAGAGACGTTTTCATAAGAATCTTATGTTGGTTTTGTCATGGCGCAGCTTAAAAACAAGAGCGATCAGTAATCACATGTGTCGCCTCATGATGGCCAATTTCATGTTGCACAAATTTTGTGACAGACGGACAGACATACGGACAGTGCACAACTAGACTTGGTACTGATCATTCCTGTAAAGTTTGGATAAAATTGCACCAGTAGTTTATGAAATACACTATAAATTTCAGTTGTAATGAATGTATATACGAATAAAATTGTTTACTTACACACTCTTTCGATATCGTTGTCTGCTGGTCCGTGTATGTAATCACTGATAAGCATTGGGAGACATATTATACACATTAATAAATCAGCGATCGAAAGGTTTACCACAAATAAATTGGATGCTGTTCTGAGACTCTTGTATCTGTAAGAGAAAGAATGTTAACAAGAAATGCCGATTATTCTAGTTTATGTCAGCAGTTTTTTACTTTGGGCAATATATGCTCGGTCGCTCTATCTATAGCATTTCTATTCTACGTGTATAAACAACAACGACAACAACAACAACAACAGCAACAAAACCCTTTTCTGCGGTGGCACATAATACATATACTCAAACAATCTGTCGCACATTTTAAAACTTACCTATCTCATCGATAAAAATAGTTAAACTATTTGCAAATAAGCACATCAGGGTCTGAAATTATTTCTGTTTCTGTCTGACGACCCAAACAAATAAAGATGATAGTCATATCGAAACAGTATTGTAAGCTTTATAAGAGAAATTACAATATTGTTGTAATAGTAGGATTAAATAGAAAATGACATGCCAAAAACATCATGGGTCATGGTTATTCTATCCATAAGATTATTGTTGTTGACATATTTTGGCTTGCTTAATAATGAATATATATATAGTTCATTATTTAGCAAGCCAAAATATGTCAACAACAATAATCTTATGGATAGAATAATTATGTAATTAAGAAAATAACATAATAATGAAAAGGTTAAAAATCCCATCCCATTGATCCATCAAACAATGTTAGTAAGAAAATAGGAAACGATTGTCAATTAAGATGTAAATGGTAGCAATTAGTCAATAAGTAGGATATTAAAAACAGTTGAAAGTTATTGAAATGTTGCGTTTTTTAATACTGTATAAGTGGTTCATTTTGCGACGTGGAAATATTTGCCAGTTTTGCGAATTAAAATTATTTGCAAATATTTGATCGTGCAAAAATACATTCGTTTTAGGCAAACTTCATTCTATCATTTGTAGAGACGTTTTCATAAGAATCTTATGTTGGTTCTGTCATGGCGCAGCTAAAAACAAATTATGCGTATTATGCCCTAATTTGGAGTTCTGCTGAAGATTGATTGAATCACAACACAAAGTTTCGTTTTATTATTTAATGTCACTTTCTCAGTTGAATACCAAGTAGAATATATAGAATGTGTACATGTTATCCTGACGTTAACAAATAGATATTAAAACAGTAACAATTATTTCTAGTGGAAAGCCACAATGTTATCACTTGGAAATTCAAACTGTCCAATTTTTCAATTTTTACAATATTTCCAAAAAAGGTTTCACAATAAAAGTTAAATCTTTGTTTCTTAAATGGCAAAATGAACAATCCGGTTTCAATAAAAAATGATGTAACATATTGACATAGAATTTATAACAACGATCTTGGACATTTCGTCAGTTATAAGGTTTAACAAGCTTAATTGACATAATCCTAAATATAATAAGGCGTTTAACACTAGTGATTGGACAAAGAGGAAAGTCAACTTGTTATCTTCCGGTTATATAATTATTAATTTGACATCTATGCTCATCTTTGGGTAAAATATTTTTATCTTAGAAATGTATTGAAATCCATGAAATTCTAACTGAATATGTTTAATTTGAATAAAATAATGAATAAACTATGTATGGGAAACTGCATTTCCTATTAGGGGCCAAGTAAAGTTGGTCTTTTCCTAAATGAAACCGCCAGTCTTTTTAATGACACTATAAATTCATATTGTGACCAACTACACTGCGGTATACCGTACCCCGGATATTGCTCGATATTATGAGGACTTTCATCCCATTTCGCGACTTTGAACAAGGAAAAAAGGTAAGTTCAGTGACAATATTTAGTCATTTTGAATTGGTTTGATATAAATTTTATAGAAAAACAAATACTTCGATAATTTCTCTAGTTACTGAAAACCCAAAAATGTTGAGAAATAGCTTTGAAATGTAATTAGGAGGTAAAATTCGTCACTTTGCTCACGTGATAAATAAGCTCGGACCAGTCAAATTTGATGTTTTTGTGCATATACTTCCTTAAAAGAAAAACTTGAATCGAGTGAAATGTGATAATGATGATAATGTTTATGTTGTAAATGTTCAATCAACAAAAGAACCTCAGATGACAGTGCATTTTGAGAATAAATACACATGTCAGTGTACCGAGTATTGCGTTGGAGTTGCCCGCCGGTGTCACGAGTATTGCTTTTTAGTGTGACGAGTATTGGTTATCAATATAGAGTAAATGCAAGTAGTAAATACAGAGTATTTCCTACATTTAATTTAAATATTTCTTATTGTGTATACTTATTTACACTATATGTGCAAAATATGCAGAGTTCGGAGGTACTTTACTGGAAACATCTGCGAATAATCCAGTTCTCATTCCTGCACTTGAAAAACGAACGAACGAACTCAGCAATTTTCTGTGTTTAAAAAGTTCTCGTTTGCTATCGAAGGATCTACCTTTCCAGAATTTGTTAATTATTATTACATATCTTATTTTAAATAGTAAAAAAATGCATCCAAACTGCATTAATGCTGCCTCAAGATTGTCAATATTAGACGATATTGAGCATTTGTGCCAATATCTAATATTAACCGACTTCCTTCTAAGCCAAAAATCCATAAAAAGGTAACTTTCGGTCATTTTACACCTGCACTCTAGCAACGGCAGACCGTCTGCACGTGAAATTTGTTACGTCTTTAGCAATGTGTTACCGTATGACTGCCGAGTAGGTACTGCTAAAAAAACCGAATAATGGATTTTGATAAGATTATGATAAAGGGCAGCAGATGCAATAAAAAGGTTATTTTCTTTAAAACCTCATAAAGGCGTGTTTTGAAGGCTTTACACCCTACCCCTTTTGATGTCTCAAAACGTGTAAAACATGCGCTATTTAGGCCCCAATCACTGTTTTTTCGTTTGAGAAATTTTGTTCAAAAGAGTGATCACTTTTTCGGCGACACCTCCCATTAAAAAGGTACATCAAGGGGGTGCCTCAGGGGGATGTGCCCCCTTCTGTTTGGGGGGGGGGGGGTTGAAGTGGGGCAGTTGTCGCTCTAATCGCCGAGAAGTTTTGGACTTGTGGGGTGGAGGCTAAAATGGCCTCAGGTCAATTTAAAGGTACCGTGAAATCAACGCCGAAAACCTAAGACTTTATCCGAATCAATTGAGAATTTGCTGCACCTTGAAATCAGTTTTGATGGGAAAAAACAACGCAAAAAAAGAGATTTTTTTGTAATTTTGAAACGTCCCCGTTGCAATGGTAACTGGAAATTTAAAATTGAGCATGCTTTTCCACAGGCTATGGTCCAGTCAACATTTGTGCCCAGTTTGATCAGTATTGAAGCATTTTTTTAATATTTTCATAGCAGTTTAAAATTGTAACAATAGGCTTAATTCAATGAAAACAGCCATTTTTCGCAATGCTCATGCAGTAAAAGGTTAAGACGATACCGGCATGCTTGGACGACATAAGCACTCGAGCCAATATCTTTACTAAGAGTGTCTTTAGACAAACTTGCACTGTAAAAACCTATTATTAATATCATCTAAATATGTTTTGTTATTCTTCTTCTTTTCAGAGATGGGTCTCCTTGATCACAGTTTCTTGAGACATGTATTTGAAGATTTTTATCGTCAATTTTGATGGTTCTACCCTGCTCCCGACCCTGCTTCCGACCCTGCACACACTTTATTTCACCCGTAGTGTGATTTTCAATCAAATGGGATATTAAGTCTCTGTATTTGCCAGTAGGAAAAGAACAGTAATAACACTGAAAATGCATTGTTTCTGAAATATTTGAATAAATATCATATAAACAGTACATTATTAGCAAAATGAAATGGAATCGATAAACAGACGTGAAAATCAAACAAATATATCGATTTTCCATACAAATGTGCTCATTCTGTTTTGCAATACACTTTACACTAAAGTTGGGTTATTTTGCAATACTCTGTACACTTAAAAGCAATACTCGGTACACTTTCTTGTATCTTTTTTGGCTTGTATCTTTTTGTACTTTCACACTTTTTGCTTGAAGTTTAGACAAAGCATACTTGGATTGTGAATAAAAAAATTGCTCGATTCAATTTTTTTTATATTGGTAATATAATAATTTCTTACGATTCAACAGTATCGCGGTCAGTATTTTCTAGTGAGCAGCGGATCGTTTAGGGGTAGTTTAATCAATTTTACAAATACCTGTAATACTTTTACGTCTTTTAGAGCTAGAACAATACCTCTAGATATATAAAACCCGTTGAGATAAATGAAATAGCCATTAGTTTGGAAAATATCGTCGCTGAACTTTCCTTCGTTCCCCGTTCAAAGTCGCGAAATGGGATGAAAGTCCTCATAATATCGAGCAATATCCGGGGTACGGTAGACCGCAGTGAATTTTAGCGCGAACAGTTCAAAGCATAACATATCTACTTCAAATGAAGTCGAAACATGTTTATTTTATACATACAAAGAGACTGTGTAGCAATTATTCATATTTTTAAAAATCAAAGTTGAGCATAGTATATCTTTAAACATACACAAGTTTTTGAAATTTCATACATTTTAATTTGTTTTGGTCGTCAGATCAAACAAATAATGATAGCGAAATTTCACAGCCTAATGCGGTTAATAGCAAATGCCTAAAGTAGTCCACTTTTTTGAAGCGGTTACTTCCCTTTATATTTACACTAACGACGAAAAATGCAGGGAAGAGCAATGCGTAAAGATTGTCGAATGATAGGCGCATTAATTTTCAAGCAAAGTAGTTCCCGAATGGTCGAAGATTTCTAGTATTGTTTCATTCTTTATAGATATACATGCTTACAGTAAGCTTCATGTTTATTTACATCTGTGTTAAACAACAGGTTTAGCGTCGAAATAATAAGAGTTAAAAACCCTAATTTAGAATAATATAGTTTTCTTCAGGCCGTTAACATATAACTTCACCGTAGCCGAGGGGTTTACACGCTCGCTTATGAATCGAGATGTCTGTAGTTCAAATCCCAGTTGAGGCAACTCATTTTTTTTTAATTTTTATTTTAAGTTAAATAAACATTGAATTGACTACCATTGTTGTAATTAGTCTTATAGCCAATTTACTACAGTTAAAACACTGGAAAGCATTGGTGGCACTATACAAAAACAAATTGGTTTATAATCTCACAACCTTCACCTTTCTGCCATTCTGAGACCCAAACAAATTCAGCGCCTTCTGTGCTTTGATTTAACATGTTGTCTTTTCAGATAGAAATAACAATTTTAAAAGTAAATAGCATGCATTTTTTTTTCGTTGAAGAATTTCTCTGCACAACACTAATGTAAATATATATATAGAAGAATTAAAAGTGATCTGAACATCCATCTTAGTAATGAAAGCATATTATAATAATTATAAACCGTATAAAACAATTATATGTAAACATACACGTAATTATATTAAGCTTATACATGTATTTACAGAACTTATTGACGTGAATCGGTTTCCAAGGTTTATACATACGCATAGGATATTAAGACAACATTATAGCTTTTTATAACTGATGATTTGTTTACGTAAATAAAGATTATGAGCACGTGTTAACTTTTTGATAGTTAATTTTTAAGTAACATCTCGGTCAGTTCAAATCATCACATATGGCTTGATCGTATATTGATTAAAGGCACATTATGCCTCAGGAATCCATATGTGTTTAATTCTTAAGGATTGTCTAATATGAGTTCAAAGAGGTTTTAATAATGAATTTAGAGAATACCAGATGTTAAAGGCCCTTAATGCCCCCGAAATGCTATCATTTTATTTCACAAACACTTTAAATACTTGGTATCTTGTTACGGTTTCAAAAAAATTACTCATTTGCTGGATAGATGAACTATCTTTGCTTCTTTTTCTTTGTTGGCAATTACCTAGTATAATTATAGTGAATAAGTATTTTGTATGAAAGTCAAAATACTACTTTGTTTACATTTTGCTACATTTTACGATACATTACGTCATATATTACTTTTTCCTTCAGTTCCTTCTGCTGATGAACATCTTACATGCTCTAAATCCATTATTCAACACACGTTACACATTTCTATGAATTAAATAAATATCGATATCTGTGGCATAATGTGCCTTTAAAACCGAAGAAAGTAGTATCATATACCTGTTTAATCAACATGTTAATAGAAATTTAAATAGAAGGTCAGCTGAGCATCCATGACGATGTTCCGGCCTGAATACTACATGTAAAAAATGCGGTTTAATTTCTTACCTGAAAATTAATCCAAGAACAGTTATGTTGCCGAATGTACCAATGATAACCGCAATTATGAGAGCTGTAGCCAGTAATATACAAACTGCACGGGGTAATGGAGGTTGCTGGTGATTAATATCGTTATCAATATCGGTAACATTGTTTGTTGAAAGCATTTTCCAAATATTTGAACATACAAAATCATATAATAAAAAATCCACTTAATGTACTGAAAAAATATCACACAACCGGATATATTTCACTTATAACTTATTAACTGACTTGTAAATAGTATGTTTTATGTACAATTACTGTTAAAACGAAATATATGTTATAATAAAGAGAGGTTAAATGTGTCGCTGATATTTCCTATACAGTGTATCTTACAGAGTCAGTAGAAAAAGAAAACCAATATCGTACAAAGTAAAGATCACCTGACCGATAATACGTCATCATCATACAAAAATTGCAACTTTATATTATACAGCAGTGTGAAAATGTCTTTTTTTAACACAAGTGCCAATATATTATCGCCATCAGTGTTTGATTTTACAGGGTTATAATTTGTTTTATAATATGATCTATGAATTATAGCTTTGAATTGCTTTTCTCTAATTGTCTTTGAAAAACAGTAACATGTTAATATCAGGGTATATTTCATAGAAATTTTCCTAAATAATGAAATTGCAGAGTACAATCATCTTATTTTCCCTAAAAAAGACTTTTAATAATATATAGAATTAAGCGTTGCCATGCGATCTTTTTAAAGATGGTGATCACATGATTTCTGAAACAACGATGAGAGACAAATGAACAAGATACTCGATGTCAGGTGACAAGGAAATTTGTTTGCCTCGTACAAGGACCGAACAAATTACATATCTAATGCTCTTTCCATTGATCTATTAGTAAGCGAACATCTGTATTAAACGCCACAATATTTCTTTGACAATTAGATAATTTTATTATTTTCTGACATATTTTATTGCTCTTATAACATCAATGATGAGAGAAATCTACGAGCTGTTGATGCACAAAATCTGTAACACTCTTTGCTTATGTATTGGTGACTTACGTTCTTGCCATCTAGTATTCGATAATTTCCGAGAATATTAACTTTGAATTTGTTTAAATTTGAAACGCATCCAATATTCAAGTTCTTCTAGGTTTTACTTGTCGAAATGAGACCTATTTTAATATTTAATTAGCATACCGTCATTCTGCAATTTTTCTTTTTAATTCAAATTTGTCATGTACTTTCAGCGCTTTTAGTTTCATAACATTTTTGTCATGTACTTTTAGCGCTTTTAGTTTCATAACATTTTACTTTGTAGAATAAACGCACTTTCATTACGTTATTCTTTCATAACATACCATAGTATCGTATTCATTTTTTTGGTTTTCTTTTTAAATTTCAACTGAAAAAGGAAAATCTCCCGCTATAATGACTGCAATTAATTTTGTGGAATATTTTGTCCTCATGCAGGTTAAATTTTTAAACATTGAACTGTGCAGTTCGGAAATATATTAAGACGAGTACATATTGATTAAACTTTATTTGACAACCACCAGGCGGGTCTAATATAATTTATCAAGTGTGTGTGTTTGCGTTTATTTACCAACGCCACCGGAAAGAGACCATTTGGACGAGCAAAAGTATTTTATCAAGCTGTGTGCCAGTCCTTATTATAACTGTTCCATGTGATATAACTGATTTTTAGATTGAAGAAACACAAAATTTGACCTACATTAAAAATTTGTCATTTGCAAAATTTATTCGGATAATTTGCTAATATTACAGTTTACATTTACAGAATATATTCATTGAAGTATAGTTTATAAGCTTCATTGATATGTCGACACGTGTAGATGACAAAGCTGTCGCTCGCCCTTCGTCCATTGATATAGTATCGTTCCACGTCGATTTCATTTACAAGTGTAACATATATTGGAATCGTACACGTTATAGTCTTGTTGTACAACTTTCTTGTTGTATAACTGTCAGCTTTAAGCATATCGTGCCACACATTCTGTTATAAAACTGTCCAAGTTATGTCACTACCAAAAGGTTTTGCATTTAGCAATAAATATGTCTATGTACAATGATAATAATTTTAATACAAAATAAGCTATATTACAGTCATCTAGAACACCTTAATAAAAGGTGTAATACATATAATAAAGAAATGAAAAGTGGCACAGAAGTCAAAATGGTATTGCTAGACATGCATTATTTGCATTGGACAACTTATTTGTAATTTTTAAAATCTATTGATTTACCATGTTCACAGAAGTTTAAATTGCTTGATAATTATGTGGCATCTGTCCTATAATTTGGAGGATAATTGATGGGCACATATCCATGTACTGACTTGGAAGTGATACTAGATATATACTAAGACTCTTGTAAACATGGTTAATGAACAGTTAAATAAACAAGGGGCAGGACGTGAAGTGGTTGCACACTTGGTTCAAGCGAGCAAATTGGTTGCAAACTTGACAAAATGGCAAACACGGCGTATTTTTTTTAAACTGGTGAACGAATTTTTGCCAGGCAAGTGGGTTTCTTTGTTACTTTGAAGTTCATTAGTATGTCTATTCCATAATGCAATATATTTGCCACAATCGGTTAAAGGTTTCAGTATCCTAGATTCTGTTTTGACGAAGTTATTGAAGATATAAACTGATCATGTAGATATTTTGAAATTGACATATGACTGTTCTGGTCGGTTTTCTCCTAATTTATTCGAATTTGTAAGTTTTGAACTGCGTTTAACAATAACAAAATATGTTTCCGTCAATGCTGTTCAAGTGGTTTACTTCACGTCCTGCCCCTTGATAATTATAGAGTCTGTATATATTTTTATCAAAGTAAGAGTGGGGAAAGATTGGATTTAAATCTTAAATTCACTGTATTACAGTGTTTTATATACATAGGCCTTTATGTAAGAGATATGAAATTGTGAAATCTAATGCAGATAATTTTACATAATATCACTGTAGATATTAGGTATTTCAGCTTAAAGAATTATTGCAAAAACAGGGATTAAGTAATGTATGGGTCAGTCAGGAAGAGGTTTACTACTGTATGATAAAACAGAGAATCTTTATATTTTTGTCAAGAATGGTATTCTATTATTTATAATTCTAATAAGCTGCATTTTGAAATTTATTTAAACATAATTTTAACCTTGAGAATTATCAAGTTAGCACAGGGACTGTTGAAATTCGAATAGCAGTTACTAAATCAATTAAAATAATAAGTATAGGATATCGACCGAGTATACGAGGTCTTTCTGTTTAGGAAAGACCTGATCACGAATTTCATGTGACACCGAAACAGAAAAATCGATGTACGAGGCCGATATCCAACTTTCATAACATCAAACTATTGGCTTGAGCTGCATTTGATGTAATGCACAAAGATGACTTTTAACACAGCGCATATACAAGTAAACTTTTATTAACGCTCTGTTTAAATATATTATTTGCATTTAACCTTGCTTTTTTAAAATAATAATCAAAAAAGCTAAGCGTTTAATTTGTCAATAATAAAGTCAATGGGTCTGTAATGGAAGGTATGTAAAAGAATGAATAATTATGTTGATAGTATTTCGTATCAGACATTGTTGTTTCTAGGACATTTGCTGCCGGACAGTTGCGTCCTCGGACGTTTGCTTCCTGTTTTTTTTGCTATGGCGACTTGTCATATGTCAGAGGCAAATGTCCGGATACCCAGGAGACTACGAAAGACTTGCATATGAATATTGTTGTCTGAGATACATTATCCGATATTATATTTTATATAGCAGATTATAAATTGTTATCGAATACAACATGATCGCTCAGCATATAAATTTGTATACTAAATCAACTATAACTTTATTAACATTTCTTTTAATCATTTCTTTAATAATACAGTTTTACCGTTTCTATAAGTATTTGAAATTATAATGGGAGATATGCCCATTGTAGACAAATCCACTTTAATTACTTGTATATGCATGATACTATATAGCAAGTTTTGGAGTATATTTATACAAAATTCTTTTAACGTTGTTGTGTGGCATTCTTTGAGACTAAGTCCTTGCTTCGACGGTTTTCAGGGCATATCTGTTTTGATTTTTCACCGGTTGAATAGAACAACAATGCTGCCAACTCAAATAGAGCATATAGAGGGGGGGGGGGGGTAAACGGGGATTTAACAATCTGAGTGATCCCGCGGTTGGGACTTCGCTATTAACAATGGGTAGCTGCGGTTTCCAATGCAAAGCATATTCAAATGGGCGTTATTTTAATCACAATTTCGTTTAAAACGGACATATTCTCGTAATATTTTTTCGATATGAATTTTCGGTACAATTTTTATGTACTTTGGATTTTCTAGAACGTTTAAGATGTTTTAAATGAATTTGAAGCGTCTATTTTTGTTACATTGTGAACTTTATGACAGAAGATTCGCTTACATTAATATTACTTTGAAACACTTTGATACCCTGTCCATAATTTTATTCAAATATTTGATACAGGGATGTTGCAATAATTGCTAAGTGCATTCATTTAACATCCAGATTTTGTAAGTTATAGACAGGGATGTTATGACAATCATATACATTTCATTTTCATTTTCTATTGAATATCATGTCGTCTTTGCATGCGCATAGGCAGGTCTATTTTTTCACGTGTTTTTGCGTGACCGGGTCTGTCTGACTAGAGCAGACCTGTGCACGTGCAAAAGATAGACCTCATAACGGACTTTCTTTTGTTTTACAGGTCTATTCGAAAAATATAGACCTGTCACAAACAATAGAGGAGGTGTGTAATTGACACTACAGTGTGAACGGGCAAGCCTCTGTTGCCTGATGAACGTTGTACTTTCTTCTGGTTCTACAAGGGTTATAGGGGTAATACTTTTTAATCATATTTTTGTCATAGCCCAAAAATATTTTTGAAAAATTAATGTATAAAATTAGTTCATTTGAATTTAGCGAGTCATAAAATTATATACTTTGCTTACTTAAAGAGAAACACTGTACATTTTATTATTGTAGACGACATTTATTACATTCAAAATTCCATTTCATTTAGTTCCGCCTATTGTTTTCTCGTTTAGGGCACACGCTTTTTATTACTTGGAGACTAAGTTTGCACTTTACAGTACTGTCCATAAACAGGCTCAATCAAACCGAGCCTGCAACATTTTCAATTTTGATGTGTTGCACTTTCTTTAGGGATTCTTATTTTTCTCTATTTTATCGCCACATCAGCGTTGTTTGTGCCTTGTGGAGGCTGTAAAAAGTCGCCTCGTTCATTCAATCAGAGATGTTATATTTTCGATCCTTAAAGAGCATTCAGCATGACAT